GGCTTCGTGCAAATGAAGCCCGGGAAATTCAAATCCCGGGCTTCATTTGCAACTGCGGATGACTACATTACCCCCGCTAGTTCGAACTAGCGGGGTAGTGTAGACATACCCTCAGATACCACAGCATCTTTTCATGCTAGATTTCTTTTACTATTATACCCATTAAAGAGACAAAGTTAGTGACTTAATACTTTATTGGACCAACTGCTGTTGGTGAAAGAGACTAGAAGAAGAGCTCTGTATGGCTCAAAAGCCTGACTCTCTCTCCAACAGCAGATGGTCCAATAAAAAGATATTACCTCACTCACCTTATCTCTCTTGGGACTCACATGGCTACAACAACACAGTTCCTGGTTTCAGATATAACCAGGCTTATAGTGCAGACAAACAGAAAAAAAATCACATCAGAGAAAAATCCATGCTGTCTAATCTAAAAAAATGTGAGGGCTGTGTGTATTTTTCAGTCCTGCTGTCAGGAGGATTTTTAGGATGCCCCTGCACAGCAGTTCTAATAACACAAGAGAAACATAGTGACAGGTTTTCCAAAGAATTCAGGGACAAAATTTTAAGTGCTCTTCAACCACAGCTAGAGACAGTTTTTCAGCTCCCATCTAGGCACCAAAGTAAGGGTCAGATTTTTAGCAGCACTCAGTACCCAGCTGCCCCTACTATGACATGAGGCTGGGATTTTCAAGAGCTCAGCATGGTGAGTACATTTCTGTATTGGGGGGACAAATCTACTACTGCAGGGTTTTTACACATTCCTTGGAAGCATCAGATGGTATGTACAGTCAGAGACAGGATACTAGGTCAAGATGGGTCTCAAAACTGGTCCAGTGTGGCAATTCCTATTTTCCTATGCAAATCAGGTCCAAAGAAAAAGTGTAAGAACCCATCTGGGTTTAAAAAAAAACTTTAAAATAGTTTCATGGTGAGGATTTAGGAATATTAGACTAAAAAAGACCCTGGGTCATCAAATGTAGTACCCTACTACCAATCATATAATCCCATTCAGAAATTTGTCATGGTCCATTTTAAAAGTTTGATTTACGTGTTCTATTATAAAAGTTCAGGCACTCCTGTTTCTGGTAATTTGTTTCTTTTAAAAAGATCAAATAAATGAATATAGGTAAGTCCTGTATAGCTGAATCCCAATTATTAGAGCCCTGCATAGATACAAAATTTGTATCCACATCCACAAAAATTAGCCATGGATGCAGTTACCCATGGATATAAAGTGGCTATGCATAATTCTGCAGGATTCCAAATACAAAATTTGTATCTGCATCCACATCTGCAAAAATGAGCTATGGATATCCACCTGTATATCTGCAGATGTGGATAGTATATAAAGTGGATACATGTGAATCTTCAGGACTCTACAAATTATCCAAAATTCCTCATAACAAATAAGAACAGAGAACATAGTTGACAAAATTAAATCAAGATGCTTGCACAGTATACCAGATAAATAATCTCACCTCTAGTACAATTACTTCCATGGTAAATGTATTTAATTTTAAATTACTTATGTTCTAATAACTTTAACTGATCATATGGTTCCTCACCACGGCTATGTCTAGACTGCAGGCTTCTTTCGAAAGAGGCTCTTTCGAAAGCATCTTTCGAAAGAGCCTCTTTCAAAAGATCGCGTCTAGACTGCAGGCGGATCTTTCGAAAGAGCAATCCGCTTTTTCGAAAGAGAGCACCCAGCGAGTCTGGATGCTCTCTTTCGAGGAAGCCCTATTTACATTGAAGAACGCCTTCTTTCGAAAGAGGAACTTTCGAAAGAAGGCGTTCTTCCTCGTGAAACGAGGTTTACCGCCATCGAAAGAAAAGCCGCGTTCTTTCGAAATTATTTCGAAAGAACGCGGCTTGAGTCTGGACGCAGGGGAAGTTTTTTCGGGAAAAGGCTACTTTTCCCGAAAAAAACCCTGAGTCTGGACACAGCCTAGATAAAATACCCACTGACTTCAGTGAAGCTACAAAATTCTCATCCAGGTGAAACTCGGGAAAAACTAAAAGGATAACCCTGTTCATAAATAAATTTATATTATTTACTCCATATCCAAACACAGATCAGGAACCTCTGGCAGACTGATTGATATTCTAGCTTAACTCAAATCCTACAAAACAGATTCACTAGAGTGGATCTCTCTTTTGAAAAGTGTGCTACACTGTATGTTTTACATATAGGCAACGTCTAGACTGGCATGATTTTGAGGAAATACTTTTAACTGAAAAGTTTTTCCATTAAAAGTATTTCCACAAAAGAGAGTCTAGATTGGCAAGGATGCTTTTGTGTAAAAAGTGCTTTTGAGCAAATGCATCCATGCCAATCTAGACGTGCTTTTGCGCAAGAAAGCTCCGATGGCCATTTTAGCCATCAGGCTCTCTTGTGCAAAAAATTAAGGTGCCTGTCTATACTGGCCCTCTAGCACAAGTATTCTTGCGCAAGAGGGCTTATCTCTGAGCAGGAGCGTGAAAGTATTTATGCAAGAAGCACTGATTTTGTACATTACAAAGTCAGTGCTCTTGCGCAAATTCAAGTGGCCAGTGTAGACAGCTGGCAAGTGTTTGTGCAAAAGCAGCTGCTTTTGGCAAAATCTTGCCAGTCTAGATGCACCCATATAGTTAGGCGAGCAGGGTTTTCCTATGGAATTGGTGGAAGGATAGGAGAGGATCTGTCCCTTAGTTACATCAAAATGTTACTTTAGAACTAACAGAATATGTGTGAAATGCACTAAGAATATTTAAAGAATAACTTTACTACTAGGAAAATAAGGGAATTTTAAAAAGTGAGGTGACATTATCTTCAAAATGCAATGCATGATTCTGAGCTGTCCATATGTTGTATGTATCGTTGTGCTCTGCTATTTTACAAATAATGTATGTATTATTAATTATTATTTAGGGAAAACAACATCCTAATTCTGTATATGGCTTCTTTGCAGTGTCTATGCATAATTTCATAGTTTAAATTGAGACTAACATTCTCAGATATAGACCTGATCGACTGAAGCCTGGGGGAGCTTACCCAATAGAACTTTTTGATGGAAACTCTTTGTTTTGACAGCCACCAAAAATAACCACCAATTTGATAAAACACCGTTTGATGTCCTACAACTCTCACCACACCAAAAGATGAATAATCAACAAAATTCCATTCCTACAACTGTCCTTCTGATGCAATCCATGAACAGACATAAGATTAAACAGAAGAGCTGCTGAATCTTACAGGGAGATAAATACCCCCCATACATACACACACCAGCTTTAATTAAATGAAAATAGAAAATATGTAAGGGTATGTCTACACTACCACCCTAGTTCGAACACCGGAGTTGCAAATGAAGCCCGGGATTTGAATTTCTCGGGCTTCATTTGCATCTTGCTGGGTGCCGCCATTTTTAAATGTCCGCTAGTGCAGACTCCGTGCCGCACGGCTACACGCAGCACGGACTAGGTAGTTCGGACTAGACTTTCACTAGGTAGTTCAGACTAGGTTTCACGAGGAGTAACAGTAGTTCAGAATAGGAAGCCTAGTCCGAACTACCTAGTCCGTGCTGCGTGTAGCCGTGCGGCACGGAGTCTGCACTAGCGGACATTTAAAAATGGCGGCGCCCGGCGAGATGCAAATGAAGCCCGGGAAATTCAAATTCCGGGCTTCATTTGCAACTCTGGTTGCCTACATTACCACCCTAGTTCGAACTAGAGTGGTAGTGTAGACATACCCTAAGAGACAATGAAAATGTGGAGCTCCTTAAACACAGGAGATAACCAATAAAAAACTATATACAAACTAATTAACAGTATCGCTTTAATTTCAAAACTTCTGTAAAAATAAGGTAGTAACAATACTAATACAGTATTTTCAAATATTTAAATAATAGACATTATATGATGAACTTGGCTAACTCATAAGCATCCTATCATTTGGCCTCAACCCCCTAAAAGCCGGCTGAATTGTCCCAGTTTTCACTTTCCTAAGACCAGTTTGGTTATTTCTTTACAAGTCTGTGTGCAAACACTTGTATGTTGGAATAAATCTGGTTTAAAGTCAATTTGATTAATGGTGGTCTGCTGGTAAAATAACAACTTTACCTAAATAGTTTTCTTCACACAGGGAGCATCTACACAGCACTCTCAGCTCAAAATAAGATACACCATTTGTGCTACGTAAATTGCGTATATTATTTCGATTTAATTTTGAAATAGCGTGCTATTTTGAAATTTGGCACGGTGTAGACATGCCAAATTTTGAAATAAGCTATCTCGACATATCCCTTATCCCTCATGGAACAAGAGTTACAGGGATGCCAAAATAGCACGCCCATTATTTTGAAAATTATTTCAAAATAACGGGTGCGTTTAAAAGACACACGGAAGCTACCACAGAGACTTATAGCAAAATAACTACATTAGTTTGAGGTAAGCAATTTAATTCAAGTGGTGCAAGCTTGTACGCAAACCTACCATGACTCCTTATACAGACAAAACTCCAGCTGGTTTGAGCTCGGCACACTGACCCCAAAACTGCGTCACCGAAGTCAATGACTTCAGTGGGAACCGGATGATGTCTACTGTAGTTAGTCAATTTGAGGGTCTGTTCCAAAGCACACTGACGAATTAGGGTTACTTCCACTGACTTCAATAGGCTTTGAATCAGGCCCTCCTTGTATAAGCCAGGGTGGAATAGCAGGGCTGTGTGAAGAAGTTCTCACCACCTGAATAATCCTACTTTCAGGGAAAATAAAATCATTTCCAGGCTTGCCTCAAATGTACCTGAAACCAGAAGACAGAAAAGTGTCATTTTACTTCAAAGAGCTGATTTTTTTACTGTGGAAAAGTTTGTGAATGTGTATATTCAGTAAAGGCACTGTAAATCATATTTTTCCATGGGAAAAATCTGGTCATTTTCACTACAAAAAGCTCAAAGCTATAGGGAAATGTCACTCAGGAACAATTTGGGGAATACCCAAAAGAGGGTTATTTTTGTCATTTGAACACTCGCAGAATGAAAATATGAAAATTTACCAAACTTTGGTTATTCCAAAAATGTACGTGCATCCATGTTAGAAAAGCAGATGACAATTTTAGATGAACTGCAATTCTTCAACATAGTCACACTTCTCAGGTGCTTGAAGGAAGCTGGATGTTGGCCATAAGCCTCACAACAGCTAAGGAATGTAGACACCTACACATACAAGGCCACATTTTGTATACCTTATTCATGCCAACAGTCCCACTTACCAATGTGGCTACTTGCTTAAGCAAACTCTGATTTACATATCACTCATGTGTTACCGCTTACATGCAGTAGAGCTTGAAAAGCATATGGCAAAGCATGAGAGCATTTTGTAATGAGTTTTGTGTGCCACTGACTTCAATGTTTATTGGTCAGAACTGACCATTATTGTATATTTCTAGCTCAAAAATTAAATAAGCTGCAATCAGAAAAAAAAACCAAACAAATAAAGCAATAATAAAACCACACAAAGTTCATTCAAAGTGCTCAGACATAGTCGTGAACTGAAAGTGCTGTTTTCTGGCAACCAACTCCATTAGAATCCTTCAAAAACAACTCCTTTGAAATAGTCATCTAACTATGATACACATTTATTGGCTTACAAGGGCAGATTTCTAGAGAAGAAATACTATGATGAACTCATTTTGCATTAGGGCAAGTATTCACACCACTAGGGAAAATAAACTGTTCTGTTGATGCAGTAGGAGACCTGTATTTCCCAGTCCCAAACACTTCCTTTTAAGTGGGACATTTTAAAATAAGAATTGTGTTTAAAAAGTAATAGAAAATGGGGAAGAACCCTGATATTTGATTATCTTTCAGTTCTAGCTATACCTTTATTGTAAGATATGACTGTGACTTATCCTCTGGCCTTTTTTCCCCATTATACCTGTAGGAAGAATTTCAACGCAGCAAATCAGTGAATAAAAATAATCATATGATCAATGTTGTACCACAAAATTCTTAACATTTGCACATAAAACTGGTACTCAGTTGATGTTAACTACTTGTCAATACAATACTGAACTAAGCTAAAAAAGTATCTTTATTTAAAATAGTGCTTCATTAAACATCTTTAATGTGAATGTGGATAATTTTATTTTATGTTTAATAGTATCACTTTTATTAATAAGAATGCTAATAATACTAAATAATTCCTATTAATTAGGTTCACTCTGTTTGATGGATATGAATAGTCTCCCTTCATAGATCAGCTGTGACAGGTGCACTTTTGTTTTCTGATGTGGACGATAATTTTACCATCCACCCAACCACAGCTTATCACAATAAAATAAAATAAAAATTAGCATATTACACATTAAATATTACAGTTAAATATTCTGAACACTTCCACAGAGAAACTCCCCCAACTGATTTCAAAGAGTTTACAATGCACAAGAAAATAAGCTTCCTACACAAGGAAAAAAATAACTCAATTTAAGCCAAAAAATTATCTTCTTTAATACAAAATTCCATTCTCATAGAATAAATGTATTTCCACTGAATAAATAGATTCCCTCACCATTTGCAGGTGAAAATGCTACTACTATTTAAGTCAAGATGCTCTTGCCTTTTTTAGTTCAAATAAAATATAAACATTATTTATAATGATTGGCTTATACTTTAATATGATTTATAAACACTCAGATTTTGCTTTTTTCCCCTAAATGTATACAGCACCAGTCACACCAGGGATTTTACTTTAACCTAACATGTCATACTCCATCTTCTGCATGCTGCAGCATTATCAATGCAATTATAATGATTATCGTCAGAAGGACCTGGCCTTGTATTTTGATGTTTATTTTTTGTAAATACCTGCATGCTTTTCTAATATCCATTATAAAACAGATTAGTGCTGAATGAAGTAATAATGAAACAACATCAATACGATAGAGGGATCTGGCAATTTGAAGTTCATAACATTAACCAATAATACTATCATGGAAATGATGCAAAGATTTACAGAATTTTGACATTGTCCCCTTCTCTCTCCACCATTTCAAAAGTACACAGAGAGCTACTATTGATTCCCAGAAATTGCTTTCTACTTCCTCCACATGGCTCTCAGAGACAGAGAGCCTATACTATGCATATCTGGCAAAGATGTAATTAGGGGCATTTGGGGAGAACATCTACCTTTTAATTCCATTAGAATGCAACCTGCTGGGTGGAATAATTTTGTTAACACAACACAAAGGGAAACAGCCTTTTCTGACAAGGACACAGCTATGGATGTGGCACATCAGTCCATGCAAATATAGGACTATGTAGCACTTTAAAGACTAACTCTTTCTCATCCAATCCAGAAAGTTGACACTTATGGACATGTAATCCCATAACAAATGTCCCAGGGGAGGAGAACATTGGATACAGGTGTTTTAATACGATGGAAACATTTTCCATCTATCTTGATAAACAGCCATAATTCTTGTTTTTATTAACACAAAATATATTTCTATTAAAACTCATTGAGATCTTTAGAACAGGGCCTCAACGGAGTTAACTGCACAGCTAAGGAGCTGACATTCACATTCCCTTTTAATTTGTTCCCTAGTTCGATGTAAGGCATTAGTGACGTCTGGTGAATTACATTCAACGTAAGGATTTCATGCTATTAAGGGAAGACTCAGGAGTCCAAGCAGAAAGTACTATACTGGATGGGAGGCACAACTCAGCTTGCCGCTTTTGCTGCGATTGCTGGAGTTACGGCGCCACCTACTGGCCACATTGGGTAACTCCCCCCAAAAAGCTTTTCCCTGTCCCTCCCCCCCACCCCCATGTCTATCCAGTTCAACCAGGAACAAGGTACCAGTTAATACATTAAAAGAAAAAAAATCAGTTTGTTCTTTGGTTTTGCTCAGATCTAAGTGGGTTGTAAATTGAGTGACGCACAACGTCTATATTGCAGCATCATTTTAATGACGCACGTTTTGTAACATCAGCCTAACCTCCCTAGTTCTAACTTCAGCAGGGCAAAGGAGAAGCCCGGGAAATGCCAGCAATTGGGCCTCGGTTTCCCAGGCTGTTCCGGGTTTGTTTTTTCTAAAAGAGGGAAAAGAATTATCCAAGTGTAATTGAATCAAGTATTCAAATGCACATCTAAGCTTTTCTCCAAGATCTACTCATTTTCTTATATATGTCAACGGTGAAAAGTTATAATACGAATGCCTTTTCTTCTAAATCGTAGCAGAGCGTCGATTCTACTAGCAATATTAGTAGAAGACACTGGGTTAATTCTTCTGCTTATTTTAAATAGAAGAAACTCTGATAGTTACAGTGCAATGTGGAAGAAAAGCAGGTTTCAAATTGCATGTTTTAAGTCACAAGGGTATTGTGGCAGAAGTTGTGCATATTTTTTCCCTGTTAACATCACAGTGCACTGAACAGTTACTACTAAAATAGCTTTTAGGATTAAGGTGGGAGAAGTAATCAATCGATAGGGAGAGGGTATAGCTGAAATTTTAGGTTCAAGCTTTGTATCCTCTATATATCTATATATATTTTTTCAAAACTTTTTATTAGGAAAGCTATACCAGACGCATCACTGTACAATGAATGAGTAAACATTACCTTTACAATTTATATTCACTTGAAATTACAGAATAAATATATGCACATTGTTGTATCTTTGTGTGTGTGTGTGAGAGAGAGAGAAAGAGAAAACATTTAAAAGTGCTTCCTACAAAGCCGTTAGTGATAGGTACCCAGTGACTTTTTTGTATATTTGTATGGGTTTGTTTTAATTAGAAAGTGCGGACGTCCTCCAAAAACTCATGGCGTCATGAAGTTCATTGATCATCCCTAGGTGTGTGTGCGCCACGTGGTTACATCCAATGGGCTTCTTCGTTTCGGATGACTTCACACGTGAAATGGAAACCCCCTCCATTCCCCCCCTCCCAAGAGAAGAGGCGGGGAAAGGGTTAGAGGAAGGGGGTGGGGCAGATCGGAGTGGTCATTGGTTGAGGGTTGGACTGGCGGCTGGGGCAAGAAGCTGTGTGGACGCGTCTACGGTTGTGTGTGCGTGTGAAAGAGAGACAAGAGTGAGAGCACATTCGAACAAAACCCCCTCCCCCTCTTGCAGTTTCCAGGCATGCAGGTGCAGCAAACTGCATTTGATTGTTTTAAATAAATGTACAGGATCTGTGCCATGATGGGCAAGAAGAAAGCCAAAATGCCATCTCCCGCCCCCACCCCCAGGAAAAAAACATAAAGTAAGTTTACTGCAACGGAAAAAAAGAGACATAGAATTTACTTAGTTAGGATCAATACAAAGATCCCCATAATAATAATTAATAATAATATACCTTAGACATGGCACAGTCAAAGTCTCAGTTTCAGTATAAAAAATAATGATTAACATCTGCTGGCAAGTCTGCGAAGGCACTTCATTGATTAATGATCTGAGAACGGCCCTGTCTCCAAACACACACTTCTGGTGGGGGAGAGCACACAGCTGGATTCTCTATTCTCATCATGCGGCTGCAGTAGGGCTGGAGAGGGGCCGGGCCGGGGGCGCTACTGGCGGGGGAAGGGAGGGGAGAAAAGCTATCTGGTCAGAACCTATAGGTTGACTTCTCCAGGACTTCGAGGTAATCCGGCTTGGTTTGGAGTTTGGCCCTTAACTCGAGGTATTCGCTTGGGGGGGTTTGGTCTGGGAAGCCCTTGCCGGCCGAGAAGAGCAGCGTTTCTTTCAGCCTGGCGTCCTGCTGGAGGTCCGGGTACTGCATGCCAGGCGGGTGGACGTGCAGTTCCTTTAACTTGGGCACCGTGCCGTAGAGGCAGTCCACAAAGCCCACGGCGCAGGGCGGCGGCCGCTCTCGGTCCAGCCCGGCGCCGGCCGGCGGGAAGAGCAGCACCCCGCCGTTCTTCTCGTGCGGCTCCAGCGCCAGCGCGCCGCCACCGGTCGCGGGGTGGTGATTGGCGGCCACGATGGTGTTGAGCTGCGAGCCGGACACGGCCAGGCTCCACTCCTTCTCCTTTTCCAGCAAGGTCCGGTAGTGGGTGCTGTTCTCCGGCTGGCCGGGCTCGGCGAACGGCTCCCCCGCCCCACCTCCCCCCAGGCGCTCGCCGCCCGCCTCCCCCTCCGCCTCCCCCTCGCGGGGCTTGTAGATGGGGTTGTTGCACATGTGGGTCACCGGGTGGGGGATGTAGTCGTAGACGTGCCCCACCGGGGGCGCCTTCTCCGGCGAGGCTGCGGCCCGGCCGCCCTCCTCGAAGAAGCGGTGGCACTGCAGGTGGATGCCGCCCAGGTCCCCCGCCTCCGGCCGCTTGCTGCGGAAGGGCAGTTTCTTGCGCCGCCGGCGCAGCACGAAGGCGAAGAGCCCCGCGGCGATGAAGACGGCCGAGAAGAAGAGGACAAGCAGGCTGCGGATGAGCACGGAGAGCGGCACGGCGGCGGCGCCGGCCGGGGAGAGCTCGTAGGCCGAGGGGCTGGGGGGGCTGGGCTTGCCCCCCGGCGGGGCGGGCGAGGCGGCCGCGGCGCGCAGCAGCTCCGGGCACAGCGCCTCCAGCTCCACCGAGCGCAAGTCCCGGCGAGTGAGGTTCTCCGGGCTGGCGCACAGCACGTCCCCCACCACGATCACCGAGCTGATGGTCTCGATCCACTGCTTGAGCGGCACCAGGTCGCAGGTGCAGTCCCAGGGGTTGAGCTTGAGGTCGATCTGCACGATGGCGTGGAGGTGCTCCAGCACCCCGGCCACGGGCAGGCAGAGGAAGTGGTTGTTCCGCAGGTTGAGCCTGGCCAGGGAGGTGCCCGCAAAGGCGTCGGTGGGCAGCGTACGCAGCAGGTTGTCGTTGAGGAAGAGTAGCTTCAGGTTGGGCATGAGGCTGCAGGCTGCCGGCTGGATCTCCCGGATTAGGTTGTACTCGAAGTACAGGTAATGCAGGCTCTGCAAGCCCCTGAACATGCCTGGAGTCAGCCTTTCTATGTCATTGCCGTTCAGGTACAGGCTCTTCAGATTAGGCAGGTTAATAAAAGCCCCGTCCTGCACATAGGAGATGCGATTGTTCCCAAGGTGTAAGAGATCTAAGGAAGAAAAATTCCAGAAATCCGAGCGGTAGATTTTCTGGATCAAATTGCCGCTCAGGTACAACTTCTTGGCATTCAGGGGCCTGGGCAGGAGCTCGGAGATGTTGTGAAAGCCTCTCTCCTTGCAATTGACTGTCAGGCCCAAGTCGTTGATGTGCAAGCTACAAGAGCACCCAGTAGGGCATATGATGGGGATGGGCGGCCTTGTCTGATAGGCAGCTATTGGAGGCTGGTTTGGCCCAGGATACAGGCCTCGGGATGTAGGGGGAGGTTTGGGCACTCTGGGTTGCTTGGTGGGTTTGGGCTGCTTATTGGATGTTTTGTATTCGACAGAGGAAGCAGTGAAATGGAAGGAGGATAGCATGGAGGAAGGCTTAGTAGGCCATGCGTTCTCCTTGCTTGATGACAACTGAGGAATCCCCAGACTCGCCTCGACCTCAGAGTCAGACAGCATGGGGCAGAGTTTACTCCTTTTGATTTCCCTCAGGTCCTTACCATGGAAATGGAAGGGGGTCTCACAGGTTATGTCTCCCACAAGGGCAGTGTAAGGTATCCGTTCCAGCCAACTTTTCAGCTGCACAATCTCACAGGTACAGTTCCAAGGGTTCTCCTCCAGCTGAATTTCCATCAGGCTCCTCCCAATATGGTCCAGCATCCCTCGGTAGGAAAGGACTTTTAATCTGTTTCCCCGCAAGTCCAAATGGGTTAAGGACACAGACTTAAAAAGGTTGGTGGGAAGCATGGGGATAAGGTTGTCATTTAAGATCAAGACTCTCAGTTTACTCAGATTTCGAAATGCCCCACTTTCAATCCGTTTAATGACATTGTAATCTGCCTGCAGATATTCCAAACTTTCCAAACCCAGGAAAGTATCGTTTCTGAAAATGTCTAATTTATTCTCGTGCAGGTACAATCTCTTCAGCACTTTGAGCCCATTGAAGGCCCCTGTCTGAATGTCCTGGAGTGCATTGTTCCCAAGGTTAATAGACACAGCATTGTTCAAATGAAGAAAACTGTTAGTGTATAATTTCCTCATGGAATTCCTCTGCAGATAAAGTTTAAAAGGTCTTGACCATGACTCCGTTATCTGACTAATATTTATAAATCCTTTATTGTCACAATGTATATGGAAAAGGCTCTCTTTTACTTCACAGTAACATGGATCAAAGCAGGGCTCGTCAATTTCCTCTGAGTCCTCTATCAAGGGAATTGGTGTAGTCCATGCTAGAGCAATTGTGCTTAGAAGAATTACCCACAACATCCTTCCTTTGTGGAGAGTCTCTGTGGTGGAAGGTTTCATCATTTGTGGATGATTACAAAACTGTAACAAACAAAAATGCAGAATTTTAGTATTTATCCACACCACTCTTAAAAATAAAATCCATTCCTG